TCGACGGGCAAGGCCATCCCCAAGGACAAGGCCATCAAGCGCTTCATCGTGCGCAACATCGTCGACGCGTCGTCCATGCGCGACATCCGCGACGCGAGCGCCTACGAGACCTACGCGCTCCCCAAGATCTACATCAAGCAGTACTACTGCATCGAGGCCGCGGTTCACCAGCGCATCGTCCGCTCCCGGTCGCGCACGGACCGCCGCAACCGCGACCCGCCGCCGCGCTTCCAGCGCCGTTAGGCGGCGTCCGCGGCAGCGGGGCCGCCCCCCCGTCGCCGCGGGGGCGCCCCCGCTGCCGCGGACGCCGCCTAACGGCGCTGGAAGCGCGGCGGCGGGTCGCGGTTGCGGCGGTCCGTGCGCGACCGGGAGCGGACGATGCGCTGGTGAACCGCGGCCTCGATGCAGTAGTACTGCTTGATGTAGATCTTGGGGAGCGCGTAGGTCTCGTAGGCGCTCGCGTCGCGGATGTCGCGCATGGACGACGCGTCGACGATGTTGCGCACGATGAAGCGCTTGATGGCCTTGTCCTTGGGGATGGCCTTGCCCGTCGACGCGCAGCGCACGCGGTTCACGTGGCCGCGGCCCTTCTTGTTGCGTCCGTGGGAGCGGCGTTTGACCGTCATCGTGTCTACCTGCGGAAGAGGGGGGGGTCGGGCGTCGGGCGTCGCGGAAGCGCGCGGTCGGTCGGTTCGAGGAGCGAGAGCGCCGTATCGAGCGAGCGGGCGCGCCCCCGCCCGAGAGGGGCGGCGTTGCGCCCGCCGCGCCGCGCCGCCGGGCCGCCGAGCCGCTGCGGAAGCCGCCGCACGCGCCGCGACCGCGTCCCGAACCTCCCGGCGCGCCTCCGGAGGAGCGCGCGGCAAAAGAGATGATCGGCGACGGCACATCGCGGCGTTCGCGTGGAAACTTCGAGCGGCTCGTCGGCACGGCGTCGCGGTGCGCTCGGTTGGGTGGCTCGGCGTTGGCACACTCTCGTTCGCGCGTACGGGCCCTCGACAATGGACGCGGCGCGGCACTCGCTGATCCGGCGGAGCTGATCGGAGGCGTCGCCGAGTCGCCGGGGGTAAATGCCAACACGCGGCTCAGTAAATCAGCAAACTTGAACTTTCGAGCAGCGCCGTCGACGACGTGATAGAGCTGCCCGCGCCGCCGCCGGCCGGCGGTCGCGGAGCTCGCGCTCGCGCCGCTGGAGCAGGAGCGCCGCGCGCTGGCGCTTGACGGCCTGCATCTGCTTCTCGAGGACCTTCCGGTGCTGCTCGAGGTGCTCCTCCTTGGCCGCCGGCCGCAACCACCATGGCGGAGATCATCGTCCACGGCCAGGTCGTGGGCCGCGCCGCCGACGCCTCTCAATTCGAGTACAAGCCGACGGTGCAGGTCGAATGGGGCCATTTGCAGCCCGGCGTCTTCCGCTACCTCTTCATCCCGCGGAACCAGCTCAAGGACGGCGACGACGACGACTCGTCCGTGAGCTCCTTCAGCGACAGCGACGACAGCGAGCACCGCGCCGAGAAGGAGATGAAGGAGAAGCTGAAAAAGGACCAGGAAGATCGCGAGAACGCGGACTCGGGCACGCGCTCCCGCGGCCTGAGCCTCATGAGCCGCTTCGCGCACAAGGGCCAGGCGCGCGCCCAGGAGATCGCGAAGAAGGGCGCCCAGTACTTCGACCAGGAGGAGGCCAATTTGAAGGAAGAGAAACAAAAAAAAAAGGAGGAGAAGAAGAAGCGCGAGGAGGACGCGGACGAGACGCCCCAGTGGGCCAAGGACGCGGGCTTCAAGCTCCTCCTCAAGGGGCTCATCGAGGAGGACGGTCTAGAGATGGAGGAGGAGCCGCCCCACCCGGCGGAGCAGATCAACCACCTGCCGGAGCTCATCGGCCGCGTCATCGGCTACCTGAATCCCCGGAGGATCGGCCGGGCCGTGGGCATCTCGCGCGCGTGGGCCAACGTCGGCTACCAGGACCCGCTCTACTACTGCCTCGTGCAGATCGGCGTGCCCGCCGTGACCATCTACGCCTTCGACAACCGCATCGACGCGGTCCTCAACTGCGGCGACGCGGTGCTCGCGTCGGGCGAGAAGGTCGTCGCGGCGTTCGACGTGAACAGCGGCGAGTTCCTCGGCGAGACGGCGATCCGCGACACGACGGTGATCCCCAAGCTCTTCACGGCCTGCGGCTCCCTCTGGAGCGGGTCGCACAACGGCGCGATCCGCGAGTGGTCGCTGCCGCACAATTTGACGAACATCGAGTTCCGCGTCCAGATGTGGGAGCACAACGCGGTCATCAACGACATCGTGTCCACGGACGCGAACCCGAACTTCGGGGGCATGACGCAGGAGATGCCCTACATCTGCACGTGCTCCGACGACCGCACGGTCCGCGTCTGGAACCCCGTGCAGCACAACTGCGACGCGGTGATCCGGCCGTTCAACCACCACTGCGCGACGATGCGCACGCTGTTCGTGTCCAAGGACCACCTCTACGTCGGGTCGAGCGACGGCGTCGTCTACGTGTATGCGGTGGACGGGTCGACGCGGTCGCTCGCGAACCGGCAGAAGAAGCGCGTCGGCGTCGAGGCGACGTACCCGCTGGAGGTCGAGCTCTCGAACGGCGAGGAGGTCGTCTCGGCGATCAAGATGTCCAAGGAGCGCACGAAGGACGCGCGGCTCTACGTGGCGTCCTGGGACGGCAAGCTCCGCGTGTGGACCGTGCCCCGCGACGACCTGGAGTACGAGCTCGTCTTCACGCTCGAGCACCACGGCCAGCGCATCACGGAGGTGCTCGTGTCGCACCGCCACTTCATCACGTGCTCCGACGACGAGACGATCCGCTACTACGGCCTCTGCCACGGCGACGCCTACGACACGGCGCTCGAGCGCAAGGTCGAGTGCGGGTCCCGCGTCAAGTGCCTCTCCGCGACGCCGGGCGACCCGGGCGTCATGCTCGCGGGCCTCGCGGACGGGCGCGTGCTCGTCTTCGAGTTCGGTAAGATCATGTGAGGGTGCGAGGGCACGGTCGGGTGCGTCGCGACTCCCGAGCGTCTCGACTCCCGAGCGTCTCGACTCCCGAGCGTCTCGACTCGCGTTACCGCCCGGGGGCGCGGCGCCCGCCTAGCGGTTCTGCGTGAGGTTGGACGCGTAGGAGACGCGCTCCTTCGTGTCCTGGGCGAGGGCCTTGCCGTAGCCGGACGTGAAGCCGCCGGAGAGGCCGCCCTCGGCGTCGGGCTTGGGCACGCTCGGCTTGGCCCACTCGATCTTGAGGATGAGGTGGTCGTAGCCGTGGCCCTGCAGCGCGGCCATCGCGCGCTCCGCGTCCTGGCGGTGGATGTAGGACACGAAGGCGAAGCCGCGGGAGACCATGGTCTCGCGGTCCTTGGCGAGGTAGATGCGCGCGATGCGGCCGTAGGGCGCGAAGAGCACCTGCAGATCCGCCTCGCACGTGTCCTCCGAGATGTTCGTCACGCGCAAGCTCGCCTGGTCGCGGTCGTCGAACTGGGCCATGCGCGCGATGGCCGAGCCGGCGACGCCCGCGCCGGCCTGGCCGCGCATGGACGGGGGCACGTAGGTCGACTTGCCGCCGCCCGCGCGCGCGTCGCCCGACGCCGCGCCCATCGCCGCGGCGATGTCGCCCTCCGCGCCGGGCGGCATCTTGCCCTCCTCCTCCATGCCGTACTTCTGCTGGAGCTTGCGCCACATCTGCTTCCGCGCGAACTCGTTCATGGACGCCTTGGCGGCCTGCTGCGTCGCGTCCTCGGACTCGGCGACCTCCATCGTCACGCGCTCCTCGTTGTGCGCGACGATGGTCACGTTGCTGTCGTCCTGGCTACCCTTGGCCTGGCCGAACTTGTTCGCCTTGAGGCGCGCCACGCGCCCGGCGACGCACTTGGCCTCGCGCGTCTCCACGGTCTTGACGAAGACCTCCGTCGTCTTCTTCATCTTTTGGCCGGCCGTGTTCAAACTCCACTCGACGACGGTCTTGAAGCCCGCGGCGTTGACCTTGGTCTCCGTGCGCGGCGGCAGCGCGTCGTCGTCATCCTCGTCGTCGCCCCAGGCACCCATGGTCGTCTGCTACGGCGGCGCGGGCGGCGTCGCTCGTGTCCGGCGATTTCGATCGAGCCCCGGCAAGATTGGCTTGCTCGCGCGGCGGCCGGCGCCTCGGCCGCCGGCTGAGGCCGGCGTCGCGACGCGCCTACTATGGAATCGCGACGTCGTGCGCATCCACGGTCTCCTCGACTCGGAGTCCAAGGGACGCGTCCAGCGCCGTCGATAGCGGCTGGGCGGTGCCGGATTCTCCGGACCGCGGCCGCGCGCGGTCCGTCGTAGTCGCCACCGCACGCGTGAGAGCACGGACGCGACACTCCTGCGCAGCCTCCGAAAGGGACGCGCGCCCGGGCGGACGCTCGACGACATCGCCAGCTCGCGCGCCTGGGCCATGTTGAAGCCGTGGAGCAGCGGAAGCCTACTAGGCGGGGTTCGACGTAACAGCTTACCTAACATGTTACTTACGACTTACATTCGGCCAAAACGACTTACCTGACGGGTTACTTTCGGACTCGACGACTTACCCGGCGGCCTACCTCGGCCCGAGGCCGCGCGGGGCCCGTACTCGCGAACGGGCGGTATCTCCGGGCTCCGAACCGATGCCACGTCGGTCGTTTTGAGTCGTCTCTTCTCGTCCTCTCGGCGGATCGAAGCCCCCCCGGGGCGTGGGCGACTAGCCGCACCAAATAACACAGGAATCTCGACCACCTACGGGTCGGCGGGGCCCCGAATCGAGTACGAGGCGGATCTCGAGGCACGGAACCGGCCCTACGGTGGCAGTTTTGAGTCGAGAGGCTTCGACCGGCGGCTCTAGGAGGTTGGTTCCGTCGACGGGGCTGTCCGTGATGCCATCTAGCCATAGGTTTTTGGCACCAGAAGTGCCCGGAAAGCCGTATACTTTGTTTCGAGGCCCGTCGAGCGGCCGTAAAATAGGCATATTTTCGGCGAATCGGGTCGGCTAAAGTGGAAGTGCCGGCCTCGAGAGTCGCAACTAATATGTC